TGTGCGGCAGGTACCCGTCAGCACCACAGTAGTATCTACATCCCAGGCAGTAAGTAATGCTAAAATTTTTCTGGAGGTGGGTGAGAAAGGGGAATGCTGAAATGTACTGATGGTTTATGTCTGAAAACTTGGCATCCACAGAGGCTCAAATTAAGTGCTGTGGAATGTGGGTCTGCAACTAATTTCATGGTGTTGGAATTGTAGCTAAACGCTGAATGGCCAGAAAGCAGTCAGATATGTCTTCCCTCACCTCCTGTTGCGAGTTAATGAAATAAACTTTGCTTATCTAAAGTCCTACCTCGTGCAGCTCACCATCTTGCCCCACGCATCTGAAATAATTTCCTTTGGAATGGTGTCAGAACTAGAAGTGTTTGTTACTTGTATTAACTTTTTTACCAAATTCCCTGTTTAATACAATTGTAATGTCCAAAGCTGGAAGCACCATAAAGTGTATCGTGAAGGCTGAATAAGCTAGTTGACATTACCAGAGCTTCCTAAGGCTAAAAATCATGGATGGATGCAATGAGCCTTCCCAGAGAAATACTGTGGTGCAAAGATGATGCGGGTTTTCAGGGATGAGGCTGCTGTGCAGTGAATGAGATGGAGGTGAATTTTAATGAGCCTGAAATGGAGCACAGATTTCATCAGCAAAGCTGCTGTTGGTTTCTACTCCCAGGACTCCTAAAAAGCAAGCTGAGTGGTAATTGCATGTTGTCAAGCAGTTTCTCTGCTGAACTCCCTGCGGCTCCTCATGTGTTCTTCAACTTCTCTAGGGCAAACTACCAGCACGAATAACAGTGCCTCTGTCAGTGATCAGCCAGCCAGTGAAAGGCAAGAGCGTGGTGACTGCCCCCATCATCAAGGGCAACCTCGGGGCCAAGTGAGTATTTTGCATCTGGTAGTTTTGCTTTAGAAATAGGGCTGAGGAAGGGCTGTGGTCACTAGGTTCCTGGGGACCTAGAAAGCAGAGGGGGGAATCGACTTGCAGTCTGTTAATAGGTCCATTAGCTGCAAGAAACTGAACGGATATAGTGTCTGGCAATGAGAATGTCATCTTTGTTTAGGTTCCCGGAGGTGTAGGTTCTAGCAAATACATTGAAGAAAAAAATGTTCTTTGCCTTGAAACCAGCTATTAGGTTAGTTCTGTGTGTTTGAGCAAGAATTAACCTGGTGACATACCTAAAAATACGTGTAATCTGAGGCCCTCTCTCCCGTAAAGAAACTAGGGAAGTGTGAACTGCCTCAGTGAAAATTCCTCTGGCATTCAGATATTCAAGTCTTTTTGTTTATTCTTCCATGAATTCTGGTAGTGTCTTCCGCAGTTGATACTTCAAGGCAGAACGCTCTGTGCTCAGCTATTTTCTGCATTCCTTGAGAAGCGTTCAGGTCTGATCAGACTAACCCAGTGATGTGCACGGTCCAGAATTAGAGGGTTTAATTCGTGTGATAAAGTAATTCTCTATCATAGTGACAAATGTTGACATAAACTTGTCACTTGTGTATTTGTCAGTTTTGTGGGGGGGGGAAAAAAAACCCGCAACTTAAAGTCATTAGTAAATTAGGTAAGTAACTTTAATCTCCTAGCAACGGAAGAACAATTTGTGAGTCTGAAAGACCTAGCCTGCTGTGCTGTTTACTAACCTTGCAACAATTCTCTTTCCTTAGCATCAGCGGATTAGGTAGAAATATCATCCTGACTACGATGCCAGCAGGGACAAAACTGATCGCTGGGAACAAGCCAGTGAGCTTTCTGACTGCACAGCAACTACAGCAGCTGCAGCAGCAAGGCCAGGCCACGCAGGTGACAGCACCTAGAATGATAATATTGTTTGCTTTTTTATGATTTAACAACCTCTACTTTCTATGGAACCCCATGTATCAAGTGTAAAGTCCTCAGGAGATGGTAAATTCTGCATTAAACATATGCAGTGCATCATGTCCTTTACCTTCCCTCCATCCAGATGCTGGTTTTAAATGTTTTTGAAGCACTGATAATATAATGAATGTAAACCCAAAAATCCTGTCAGGAAATCTTCCCAACTGCTTGAAGGATTGTTTCTATGTTCTTGGCTCTTTTTGTAGTGCTTTGTACTTTGGCTTCTGGCTTGTATCAGGAACAGTGCGGCCAGCAGGAGTAGGGAGGTGATCGTGCCCCTGCACTTGGCACTGGTGAGGCCGCACCTCTAATGCTGGGTTCAGTTTTGGGCCCTTCACTCCAAGAACGATGTTGCATTGCTGGAACATGTCCAGAGGAGAGCAGCAAAGCTGGTGAGGGGTCTGGAGCACAAGGCTTACGAGGAGCGGCTGGGGGTGTTCAGCCTGGAGGAGGCTGAGGGGAGCCCTCATTGCTCCCTACAACTGCCTGAGAGGAGGCTGTAGCGAGGTGGGGGTCAGCCTCTTCTCCCTGGTGACGGG